GCAAGAACATCTATTATGCCAGGTGTGGTGGTGCATACCTGTAACCCAATGCTTGGAAGCCTGAAGCAAAAGGATTCCATTTGAGGCCAGCCTGGATTACACAGTGAGTTCAAGGCCAGCCTAAATTACAGAGCAAGACCCTGTCTCAAAAAAAACAAAAAACATGTATTATGTGATCATGGCAGTGTACTAAATTCAAGAGCTTAAATAACTACCCCAAATTAGAATTAAAAGGAAAGAAAGAAAGAGAAGGGGGGGAGAAAGGGAAAGAAAAAGGGAGGAGAAAGGGAAAAAGGAAAAAAGGAGGGGGAGAAGAGAAAAAGGGGAAAAGGGAAAGTGAAAAGGAAAGGAAAGGGGGCCAGGGATTTAGCTCAGTGGAGCCACCACTTGCCTCACAAGCAAAGGTCCCGAGTTCAATCCCAGGTACCCCAGGTACCCCCCGCAAAAAAAAATTAAAGCAAAATATTCTAATTTTCATCTCTCCAAATTCAAGAGCTAGTTAAGTAATAAAATCCTCAGAAGAGATCTTGAAAGGCCATACTCCAAATCCTTAAAGAACCAAGCCAACTTTAACAACTTCCAAGGAGGAAAGGTCATCTCACAAATTCCTAAGAACTCTTTTTCTGGTCATCAATCTATACTCTGGAAACTTTTGTGTATCAAGCCTAAATCCTTAAACTCTTTTCCTAGCAAGATTCAGAGATTAAACTGATTAGTCATCTATAGGATAATGGAAGGTTGCTATTAGGCAAATATCTGGTTCCATATACACACTAAACTATTTCTTTGTACACATGCAACTTCCACTTAAATTATTTCCTTATCTAGACCCAATAAGTATAACAGAATGATTCTTCTGTAAAACATACTATAGTGATAGAATGCTAAAATAGAAAATAAAAAGATGACCTTAAATACTTAAGAGAAGACATCTAGGAAAAGTTTAACAATTCTATAATTTTCTATGCTATTACTATTTCCCATGCAAAAATTTCAATTTTATCAATTTCCTGATTGCATTAAATATTATTATACAAATTCTGCAAATTCTTTGTGGTTTCTTTTAAAAATGATAAAGTGGGGTCTGTTTGGGCCAGTATAGGGAATAGAAGGTAAAGTTTGGGCTCTAGAGTAAGAAAGATCTGGCCTTGCCACTTAAAACTGTGAGCTAGGGCTGGAGATTTAGCTTAGTGGCACTGTACCTGCCTTGTAAGCACAACATCTTGAATTTGATCCATAGTATTGGGGGAAGCCTGTGAGCTCAGTCAAACGTAGTGGTATATGCCTGTAATCACAGCTTTCTGAGAGGCTGAGGCAGGAAGATCACAAGTTCAAGCCTAGTCCAGGCAATTTAGCAACTTATTGAAATCATGTCTCCAAAATAAGTGATTAAAAAAAAGGACTGGGGACTTCCAGAAAGATGGCAGAGTTGTAAGCAGCAGCAAGTCAACATCTCCCAGATTTGGAATCCAGACACTGGAAAATAATAACTTGGGTAAGAAAAAGAGGAATCCCTGGGATTCAAGAAAGATCTGAAGGGAAAATTAAATCCCACAGGGAAAGTGATGAGGCAGACCTCAATGCAGAAAAAGGAGGGGACAATCTGTACTTTCTCCCCAGCTCTGGCTTGAAGCATGAGAGAAGACTGAATCTACAGAGACACAGTGAGAGTGGGTGACTCCAGAGGTCTCCAGGGAAAAACACACCAGGGGAAAAAAGCAGTGGATACTACAACAGCTGGTGAGTGACTCCAGTTCAAGCTACTTCCTGTGTTGCCCAGAGAAGGTGCTTGGTTGGACACGAATTTTAGAGAACCCAAGAGTAAGAGCAGCTGTGGGTTGCCTTCATCTCAGGTCTCCCAGTGTTGAAACCCCACAGTGACTGGGTAGGGACAACTGCGGGAGACATCCAGGGTCAGAGAGCTGTGGTGAGGTCAGCAAGACACATCCAGAGTACCCAGTCACTTATGGGTTAGACCTCCTTTCCTAGTCTCATTTCTGATCTTCCCCTGCTAATTTACACTTTCCTTATAGAGGCATGTAAAATTAGAGAAAGAAACGATCTCTCAAATTGCCCTAACCTTTCCAACTAAGGACCTTTAAGCTGATACTATAGAAAATGAGCGTTTATTAATGCTGAAGACAGGGAAATCATCTTAGATGAGGAAACATTTAATTTAAGGGAGAAGCCTAACCTTCTCTCTCTCTCCCCTCCTAGGTCTAGATTTCATCATTTATGTGTGTAGGGGAGAAAAAAATACTTTCACCGATAAGTAGTGGTCTTTGAAACTTTTACTGTAAACTTGTAAAATGCTTTATGATGATTTTTTTTGGGGGGGTTAGATGGCTTAGGCTTTTATTTGGACTTTTTTTCTCTCTGATAGTAAGTTAGAAACTCACCCTAAGCCTTTCTCCAACTCACTGGGAGATAACTTTAGAACCGCCTTATAGTTAGACCACCAGGAAGTCAGGCTGAGGCAATGTGCAATAACTATTTGACCTTCCCAGAGAACAGTAATCACCTAGTGACTTATACTTGTGTTTTATTAAGAGTAAAAATGGATTTTAGTCAGCATTTCTCTTCATGTGCATGCAGGAAACTAATAAATGTGCCTTTACTTACATGTGAATTGTGGCTGCTAGGTGATGAGTAAAAGTTTAATTTGTGAAGCTTCAGAGACACTGAAATTTTAGATTAATCCTTGAATAAAACATAGCCTTGTCTTGCTGCTAAGGAAGGTTGCCTAGGTTATTAGGTAAATAACACAGGTGCCTTGAAGTCTTCTTCAAGGGCAAAATCCCTCCAAGCCAAATTTTTTTGCTTCTAAAGGTGATCTTTACAGGATGGAAAGTGCTACCCTTTGATCTATCTGCCTCAGTCTCTCTCAAAGAAAATAGAAAACAATGGTTTAGATATCTTTATTTTGGTACTAGGAATAGAACTCAGGACCTCGAGCTTGTCAGGCAGGTACTGCACTGCAGCTAAAATATAATCCTGGCCCTAGATCTTTTGATCATTTGTTTTGCTTCTTTCTTTGAACATGATCCTTATGGCTGAAATCATCTGTAACTTGTGTTTTTAAAAACACCCAGGGCTGGGCCAGGGATTTAGCTCAGTGGTTTCACTGCCTGCCTTGCAAGCACAAGGGCCCAGTTCGATTCCTGGTACCAAAATAACAAAACAAACAAACAAACAAAAAAACATCCAGGGCAGTAAGAACATGGGTTTCCTGGGAAGATAAAATTATGTGATGGTAAAAGGGTAGATAGTCCAGTCTGAATTACCTTCTGGGTCTCTCTCCACTTGGCAGCCACCTGCCCTAGAATGGATTCTACTTTGCGGATACCTCAAGGGCACAGGCAGCAAATAGAAATTAAAGGGATGCTGATTCTCTCTCTTTTTTTTTTGCATCTCAGCAGGGGAGCTCAATGTCAAAATCCCATACTCCTCTAAAATATACCAAAGTAAAAAAGGGTGACAAAAGCTGACAAAATGGAATACAGTTGGAAGTATTGATTATGATACTATTTCATAACTAAAATCATTGTAAGAAAGAAAAAAATAGTCAAAATTGCCTTATGTTCAAGTTTTACTCACATTAAAAAAAATAATCCTTGTGTTCAAACTGTAAATGTAAGCCACAAGAAAACCAGATAGATACCTGGCCATTAAGGCATTCACCACCTCTGAGCCTGATGCTATTCTTCCTCACCCTTTGGAACCCGAGGACCAGGTTTTCAGGACAACTTTTTTTTTTTTTTTTTTTTTTATTGAGTT